CCCGCTCCCTCCCTCTTTGTTCCAACTGATTTGAGATCCTGGACAATTTCCCCACCTTGGGTTACAATTTGTGGTTTGAGTTAAAGCCCTTGTTCCCTCGCTACAGGAAAACAAAGATTTGTGGGAAGAAAGCATTTTGTTATGTGGCTTAAATTTTACTCAGAGGCTTTTTACATCCCTTCTGCCTCCGGCATGAAAGGGAGTGAATCTTGGAAGGCGTCCCACACAGCAAATCCATCAGGGCTCAGTATGGGCTGCACGACCCTCCCTACTGGGCCGACCCTGTACCATGCTCTCAACGCTGCTTCTATTCCCAACGAACTCTCCTGGGCCCGTGGTTGGCAAACTGCGGCTCTCGAGCCACATGCGGCTCTTTGGCCCCTTGAGTGTGGCTCTTCCTAAGCCTTAGGGGTACCCTAATTAAGTGAATAACAATGTACCTACCTATATAGCTTAAGTGTAAAAAATTTGGCTCTCAAAAGAAATTTCAATCGTTGTACTGTTGATATTTGGCTCTGTTGACTAATGAGTTTGCCGACCACTGTCCTAGGCCAATGCCAGGGATGGAGGGGGACGCTGGCGGGCCTTTGATTCTATTCTTATTGGTTTGGTTCATACAGATGATATATATGACCCAGATAAGCCCTTTAACTGTATATTCTCTCTCTCTCTCTCTCCAGTTAAAAAAGCCTCTAAAAATATCTTCCACCTCCATAGTTTTTCCCCAAGAGGAAAATCATATCGTGGGGATATTACCTTTAAATATTAGTATCAGCCCTGGCTGGTGTGGCTAAGTGGATAGAGCGTCGGCCTGCAGACTGAAGGGTCCCAAGGTCAATTCCGGTCAAGGGCACATGCCCAGGTTGCAGGCTCGATCCCCAGTAGGGGACGTGCAGGAGGCAGCCGATCAATGATGCCGCTCTCATCAGTGATGTTTCTATCTCTCTCTCCCTCTCCCTTCTCTGAAATAAAAAAAAAAAAATTAAGAAGATATTAGTATCTTTCTATGATGTGTCTGCAGTATTTCCTCTACTCTCGTCCCCATCAATTTGACAACAGCCATGAGCACTCTCATTCTCTGGGCCCCTGTTGTCCTATAGAGCAGGCACTAGATACATGTGGCTACCGAGCCGTGAGTTGAACTGTGGCGGATTGAAATTGAGATGTGATGCTATAGACCAGTGGTTCTCAACCTTCTGGCCCTTTAAATACAGTTCCTCATGTTCTGACCCAACCATAAAATTATTTTCGTTGCTACTTCATAACTGTAATGTTGCTACTGTGATGAACCGTTATGTAAATATCTGATATTCAGGATGGTCTTAGGCGACCCCTGTGAAAGGGTCGTTCGACTGCCAAAGGGGTCGCGGCCCACAGGTTGAGAACCGCTGCTATAGAGGATGAAGGATGTTGATTTCATTTACCCCCCACCCCTCGCCCCCTTGAGAGTGACTCTAGCACAGAGACACGCTCTACTGAGCAGACCGTGAAGATTGTGCACACATGTTGACATCATCTTTTATTGTCCGCAAAAGTGATGGGAACCTGGTGTTCTGCTGGCGTTGACTGAGCTGAGCTTGGTGGCCAGAGTACAGGTAAACAGAGCTCTCGGCGGGCTGTAGTCCAGTTGAGGAGAAAGACAAAGGGGGTGGGGGAGTAGAAGGGGAAAGAGAGAGAGAGAGAGATGCACTGAGGTGGAGCTGAGACCGGCCAGAAGGCAGGAGGTGAGTGGGGGTTGAGGGGTCCACTGTAGTCCAGTTGAGGAGAAAGACAAAGGGGGGGGGCGAGTAGAAGGGGAGAGAGAGAGAGAGAGAGAGAGAGAGAGACCCGAAGGATTGCCAAAATGTAAGTCTACCCATAGACGTAGGAGTCAGGTCCTGAGGAGCCACAAATGAATATCCGTTGGATACACATCGTTTGTATAGAGGGGAGGAGGAATTCAGACTTGAGTCTGGAGGTAAAGGGGCTTTGAAATCTTTTCAGTTCGCAAGTAAGGTGGGAGCTGCAGAATAAAAACACTTTGCTTTGGAAATGATATAAAGAAGGCGAACCAAGTAGAAAATATTTCCCAAGAGCTTTATCTGGGCCAGGCGCGGTAGACCAGCGCTCTCTGCCTCTGCAGTGGGCGACTCTCTTGTAACCCTTTCCCAGCCGAGGGACTGAAGCACAAAGGGTTCCCATAATCCAGCTCACCAGCTTGGAAATAACAACCATGACCTACCTGAGACCCCACGCAAACAATTATGACAGCTACCAACGATTATGGGATATTGGGGGGGGGGTATGTTTCTCCTTCAAAGAGAAACGATGCTCTATAGCAGTGGTTCTCAACCTTCCTAATGCCGCGACCCTTTCATACAGTTCCTCATGTTGTGGTGACCCCCAACCATAAAATCATTTTCGTTGCTACTGCATCACTGTAATGTTGCTACTGTTATGAATCGTCATGTAAATATCTGATATGCAGGATGTATTTTCATGGTTACAAATGGAACATAATTAAAGCATAGTGATTCATCACAAAAACAATATGTAATGATATATGTGTTTTCCGATGGTCTTAGGCGACCCCTGTGAAAGGGTCGTTCGACCCCCA